GATTAATTAGAACAGTAAAGTTTAAAAGGATAACAAACAGTAAAAAGCAATTGCTTAAAAACCAGTGAAAATATCGATACAAAAAGTATCGATACACTCTGGAAAATCGATACTTCTACCCTATAATAAACAGTAAAAAACAATTATTGCTTAAAAACCAGTGAAAATGCCTATACATAATATAAGATCTTAATTAATAAACTGCAGCACTATGGGTTCAGGGGATCATCTCTCGAATGGTTTGTCGTATCTGAGCAACAGAAGTCAACTTGTGAGGGTGGATACCACGTTGTCTTCTAGCAAGCGAATAGAATGTGGAGTACCACAAGGCTCAGTACTAGGCCCTATTTTGTTTCTTCTTTTTATTAACGACATTGCTAACATAAACATCAGTGGCAAAATATGTCTTTTTGCGGACGACACTAGCTTCACTTGGAGCAACAAGGACCTAACGCACTTCATAGGATTATATCAAATGATTTAATCACCATTAAATCTTGGTGCGATTCGAACCTCCTGAGTCTCAACATTTCTAAAACTAAAGCTTTGTCGTATAAAAACTCGCTGCAGACTTTTGTACTTAACAACACCACCATTGACGTCGTCAAATCTGTAAAGTTCTTGGGGCTTGTTGTGGACAATTCTCTGAAATGGGACATACATATCGAAGCTTTGTCGAAAAAATTGAGCTCTGCCTGTTTTGCATTAAGGTCTGTTTCTAAGGAGCTTAACTTGTTAGTGGCTAGAACTGTTTATTATGCACTTTTTGAGTCGCACCTCAGGTATGCCCTTCCATTCTGGGGTACGTATTGTGCGACTCAATTTGACCGCATTTTCAGGCTCCAGAAGAGAGCTGTTCGATATTCACTGGGACTAAACAGCAGAACTCATTGCCGGGACTTTTTAAAAAATTAAAATATCGACTCTTCCTTCCTTATTTATATTTGAATCCGTTTGCCTAATACGTAAACATGTATCAGCTTCTCAAGAAAGGCCATCTCACACTTATCCACTCAGGAACGCGGAGCAAGATCTTTATCTACCTACCCCACGCTCAGAGTTAGTTAAAAGTTCAATATTATACAACTCGAAAAAAATGCACAATCACCTGCCATTTGAAATCAAATCCATAACATCATTTTTTTCATTTCGCAAAGCATTGAACTCTTATTTACTAGACAAGGCTTTCTACGCCGTAAATGAATTATATTTTGAAAATCAAATTTGATCTTGTAAACACTGGTCTAATGTTTGCTATTGCTATATTTACTAATGACATCGAAATAATTTATTTAGAGGTCATTGATATTTTACTATAAACTAGCTAAATATTTTTGAATATTATTTTTATTTTTTTGTTCTTTGACATTATAAACATTTATAAATGTTTATTTTAACAATAAGACTGACAATATTATTTGTATAATGTTTTGTATTATCTTTTGTTTGTTTGTTTGTGTATCTTGTTTTTTTTTACTTTGTTTGTTAGTTTACCTTTGTCTACAAATTGAAAATTTTTTTGACAATAAAGGCATTTATTTATTTATTTAATACTTAAAACGAAAGTATCGATACTCTTGAAATTCGATACTTCCGCCCATCCCTAGTATTCGATTAATTTATAACAACGGTTTAAAAATATAGAAAATGGCTAAAAACGGAAGGGAAACGAACAGAAACAGATAAGAAACGGTAACAATAATCACAGAACCCCCTAGATTGCTTCTATATACTCCGATTCCGTATATAATTAACCAGGAGAAAGAAAATCCTTCTGCGCGAGACTGAAAAGCAATAAACGCCGAGTTTATTGCCTTTCCTGCCTAACTAACTAACGCATTAATATATCGATATAAATTCTATAAATATCGGCACAGCAAGAACCCCGTGTTTCCTATTTCAATATAATGAAACATAAAATATTCACCCGAGCCAATTTTTTTCTTTGTTCTATTTGTTTTTTTTTTCTTAAATCCCTTACAGGCACACATATTTTTTACTAACATCTTTTTCTGCCATTTACTAGTATTTGAAGATGTATTCATTCACCTAAAGAGATTCCCTTCTAATCTCCTACGAGCTGATATAATATGACGAGCAATCTATTAAATTACTGTGAGATTATACAGAAAAGTCCACAGACTTCGAGACATAGGAAAATCAAGTCCATTTAGCGTGTGTCCAAATTTTGACAAGTTTTCAAAAATGACAGTTTTGTTTAGACTGACGTTTAATTTCACCTGACTTCTCGGTGAATGATTTCTTTTTATGGGGGTACATAAAATCTAAAATTTACGGCCATGAAGAAATTCAAAACTTGGAGCAGTTAAGGCAGAAAATGTTTAATGCCTTTGACACTGTCACCCCTGATATGTTATCCAATGTGAGGAGGGATTTTATGATCGTTTGGTTTAATGCAAGAGGGAGGCACTTTTGAACAATTTTTATTTTTTTTAAATTTCATTATCCTGTTTTTTTACCGTTTACCCATTACCTACCTTGACGAACATGGGAAAACGAAGGTCCTTTTCAGGACCACAAATATTTTTATTGAGAAAATTGGTAACTTTTTTTTGGATTAAAAAACAAAAGTTGTTAATATAATACCAATTTAAAAGTGTTTTAGTAGTTTTAATACACACTATGATATAACATTTATTATTATTATAATGTACATTACTAATACTATTGTTTATTCGAAATGGCATTAAGGCCCAATTGCAACAATGATTTAAATTTTTCTTAAAGATAAGTAGAGCTTAGAATGAGCTGTATTTATATTTACTTTAATATTCACCTTAAATGAGGGAATTTGACTGATACAATTTTTGAATTTGAATTGTTTTTAATGATACTAACAATTTTAGTTCAATTTTTAATAAAATTTATTTAATATTAATAGAAATCCAAGAGATTTGAAACCTCTTTTAGCGATTGATATAACATTCTCAAATGAATTACAGGTGCCCTTATTTTCTATGAAAATCACACAGCTTTTTTCATAGTCGCTGCAGTTGCTATAGCTATAAAAAACTAATTTTTTAAGGTGTGAAAATTGCGACGCACGCTAAATGGACTTGATTTTTCGTATGTCTCGAAGTCTGTGGACCTTTTTGTATGCCTCGATAACATATTGGTGCAGATTATTTTCACCCAAACTATACATTGATGCGGATTGTCTATGAACTCTTTCTGAAGGTCACAGAAACCTGAACGCGTAATTCGGTGTTCTTTCGCATCTGTTATAGGTAATTTTTGTGGTATGGTCGGCTAAAAATTATATAATAATTTTGTCACAGCTTTTGGTTATTTTATGATTTTAGCTAGCTTAAATTTAAAAAAAAGGCAGAAAATTTAGCTTAAAATCGGTCATATTTTCTTTACTTTCCAATAATATTCCCAGGATACTGCAGAATCGGCATTATACAGATTCCTCACGTATCGGTAATAAATACAGGGGGGTATTAGGTACTCGGGGCCCGCCGGCAAAGAAAATACATTATTCAATATTGGAAAAGCCATAAAGACTCCACTTGGAGATTTTTTCTTCGTTTTTTTTCCCCGGCGCAAAAATATCTCCACTAATTTGACGTCTTTTACAGCCTACAATATTTTTTTTTTCTTTATACAATATGTCTACCAAAGTTTTGCATATTTTTTTAATATACAGCGTGTTACAGAAATCTGCCTAAGACTTAACCCGATCTTGTCGTGTTAGCCACATCTAAAATTTCAAATACACGTACTTTGATTAAGGCTTGATTTGAGGTTTGCAGAGCTTCAGCATTTGCGATAAAATAGCGAACAATTTGTTACAAAACCATATAAATTATATATCACTGTAATCACGAAACTTCAATCTATTTTCGTATTTTAACGGAATTTTAAATTATGTCTTTATTTTCGAGAAAATTTAGTCCAAACATAAGGAAAATTTTGTTGATGTTTGATCATCAAAATCTTAAAATTAAAGAAGTTTTCTAAAAATGTGCTACAATACGGATATAGTATAATCGTTTATCTTTAATTTCCTTCTTCATTTGTGTAAAAATACCTAGCCAGTTTTACATAAAACGTTAAATGCCGACATCCTGTATATATCGATTTTTGGATTAGTACCATATGGTTTAATCTGAATATCCGACATCATATTGATCAATATTATTCACTAATTACTTTTTTTTTGTTATGGTCCGTTTCCTGTTCATAACTGTGAGAAAAGAAATCAAACGCTCCTAAATCTGGTGTGTTTTCAGGCCAAATCAGTTCCAAATAGCAAAACAACAACCGTTTAAATAGATATTTTGACAGTGAGCAATGAGAGCAGATAAGTATCTCTTTCTACATCAATTAGTGTCAGAAATTATTGGTAAATAAAGTATACTTTTTTTAAGGTGAATTTTATAACTATTAAACTGTTTTTATTGGTCTTTATATTCTTAAAATAGTCAGTATACATATTTATACATCTATAGATTGTCTTCATGAATAGTTTTAGAATATAAACATCCATTAGTCTCTTCATATTTTTCTTGGACATTAGCCAACTGTTAAGGATCGTTAAATAGAAAAAAAATTAATGTGTATTTTTATTATTTTACATCTATTAAACTTTGTAATCGAAAATATAAAAAAAATATGCTTTTAAAAAATCTAGCGCAGGAGAAAGATCATTTATTATTTTTATTATTACTATTGACTCTAAAGCTTCGTCTACACCTAACGTTTTCCCTTACGTTTAGTCTGTCAGTTAAAACGCAAGACCGCCTAGAGAAATGCACTGTTTTTGATTCATATCAGTGTAATACATATACAGGGTGGTCCGAACTGTATTCCGGAAACTTCGGCAGCATATTCTCCATATAAAAATAAGTAAAAAAGTTCCTAAAAATGTATGTCCTAAAATGCTTAATTTCGGAGATACAGGGTGTAGAAGTTTCATTTTTATTTCGATTTTTTCCAAATAATAAATATAATATATTTCTTTTTCTCTGTTTCAGTACGGCTCAGATGAGTTCACAGACTCCCCCCGTTACACCTCCCCAGGCGCCGCCACTGGTTCGGCGTACTACCTCGGACCCGATGGTACCCCCAACGCTGTTGCAGGCGACTGGCCATCCGCATATGGCGCCACCTACCAGGCCTACGAAGCGTACGGCCTCATCGCGGAGCAGGAGCCCCAAGGAGGCCAAGGCCTACCTCCCATGTCCTCCCTAAGGCCTAACGGCGCCCCTGCCACAACTATAGCGGGTCCAGGGGGTGGAGGAGGTTTTGGAGCTCCCAATGGACATGCGGACGCTGTGGTGGCCAAAGGTTTGGGATCGGTGAGTAGATATTTTTTTCGATTTTAGTTTTTTTTCTAGCCTGACATTTTTTTGTCATTTTCATCTTTGTTTTGACATTTTTTGTCACTTACAATTTTGTTTTGACATTTTTTTGTCATTTTCAATTTTGTGTTGACATTTTTAATATTGTTTTGACATTTTTTTTGTCATTTTCAATTTTATTTTGACATTTTTAACTTTGTTTTGACATTTTTAGACATTTTCAATTATGTTTTGATATTCTTTTTGTAATTTTTAATTTTGTTTTGACATTTTTTGTCATTTTCAATTTTGGTTTGACATTTTTTTTGTAATTTTCAATCTTTTGACATTTTTTGTCATTTTCAATTTTATTTTAACTTTTTTTATCATTTTCAATTTTGTTTTGACATTTTTTGACATTTTCAATTTTGTTTTGACATTTTTTGTCATTTTCAACTTTTTTTGATATTTTTTTGGTCATTTTCATTTTTGTTTTGACATTTTTTTGTCATTTTCAATTTTGCTTTGACATTTTAAATTTTATTTTGACATTTTTTGACATTTTCAATTTTGTTTTGACATTTTTTGACATTTTCAACTTTGTTTTGACATTTTTTTATAATTTTCAATTTTGTTTTGACATTTTTTTGTAATTTTCAATTTCGTTTTGACATTTTTTGTAATTTTCAGTTTTGTTTTGACATTTTTTGTCATTTTCAATTTTGTTTCGAAATTTTTTTGCCGTTTTCAATTTTGTTTTGATATTTCTTGTCATTTTCAATTTTGTTTTGGCATTTTTTTGTCATTTTTAATTTTGTTTTGACACTTTTTGTCATTTTAAATTTTGTTTTGACATTTTTTTGCCATTTTCAATTTTGTTTTGACACTTTTTGTAAATTTCAAATTGGTTTTGACATTTTTTTGTCATTTTAAATTTTGTTTTGACATTTTATGTCATATTCAATTTTGTTTTGAAATTTGTTTGTCATTTTAAATTTTCTTTTGACATTTTATGTTATTTTCAACTTTGTTTTGACATTTTTTTGTCATTGAAAATAAAATAAATCGAAAAAATATTCAAAACTTTAACACCCTGTAGCTACGAAACGAAGCAGAATCGGACCTATGTTGATATGAAAAATAAATCCTATTTTTACATTAGGAATCTCCCCACTAGGGATGGCACATCTTTTTTTGAAACACCCTGTATGTACAGTTTACTAAAAAAAATCATGAAAATAGCGGTAAAATTAAAAAAAAATATATATAACACTTTCAATTTGACGAAAAAAAAATTCCCTTGCTTTTTTTTGCATCTGAGCGTACAAACCTTAACAGAATTTATTTTATTACTTTTGGGTAATTCTCTGTGAAAGTACAGTAATTAATTTCGGCTTGATTTTGACATATTCACTGTTTTGACTCTCCCTAAATATGCAAGTTAGGTAATAATTCGATCTAATACAATTTTTTCCGTGTTATTGAGCTGGCCACAGTACTTTTGGCGTAGGCAGTACTAGTACGAGTGGGTTTCTCGCATACAAATGTCCTTTCTGTTAATTACCGTTCCTCTACTATGCGTTTTTCTTTTCCGTGGCCGATTGAAATACCCGCCCACTCGATTTTATAGGTTAGGAAACACCTTACTACACGCCAACTTGTCGTTGCATAATTTATTTATTTTTAATTTCATTCATGTGCGCTCTTGAACTTAGAGGGAACGTTTTTAATGTTTAAAACGCTTTATCGCAATGTTTTTAAATGCCAACACCCTGTATAGTATGTTTCATTTCGATGCAGAATCAAAATAAGAACATTTTTTTTGTATTTGAAGTGTTCCTTAATTTTTAACTGTTTCGCAGATAATAGCAACTGTTAAAGTTGCCTTATATCTATCAAAAATAGTAGATAAAATTAGATTTACCTTTTTTCAAAAGAAAATTGTTCATTATTTTTTACAGATATACCCTACCGCAGAGCAAGCCAGTGCAAGCAGTTATAGTTCGGCCCCAAGTACACCTGTCAGTTCACCCCCACCATTAGCACCTACAGGATGGCTGACCAATCACAATACGCCTCATTCTCCCCACTATACGCAAGCTGTCACTGTCAACAACACCGCGCAAAACTTACACAATATGGTAAGTTGACAGAGAGTCTTATTTATTTGTCAAGTAAAAAAAGTTCTGCACAAAATTACACTATCTTAATATACAGGATGTTTATACAACGGTATTTTTATCTATTTATCAAAGTCATCTAACAAAAAAGGGAGATACAACACTCCATTCTGTTTAGAATCATACATACTTAAAAATGCTGCATAAATATGACAACGCTGTTGAGTTTCGTGTGCATCTCTGTCTTTTTTTATTAACAATCGTAGAAAGTAACTTTCTATACTTTTTTTTAATATAATATAATAATTATTTCTTTATTATAGTAATAATAAAGAAACTGAAATTATTAATAGGTACGCGAAAAAAAATTAAATGCTAAAAAGGGGGGACTCGAATAGTCCACCTTTTGGCAATCTTAGTACTGGCGAACCATCTTGGATATTTGAAAATACTTAATCAGTTCCTTTTCAAAGAAAAAAAACAGTGAAAATTACTTAAAAAATCAAAAGTTCACAAACACCGCCCAGCAACACTGTTAAACATAACTAGAATGAATCCAAAACCAACCGCAGAAATTTGGCACCATCGCTTTTTGTTGAAAACGATGTTTGATCGGGATTAAATATAAATAGTTTTGTCTCTTTGAGTTAGATGTCTTTGATTATATTTCACGTGTGCTTCTTCCTATGCTTTGATCTTATTTTATAATTTTTTATTATTAATATTTGTTTTTTTTTAATTTTTGTTGTGTTCAGTTTTTTTGCATGTTTTTTTTTTTCCCTTAAGCCCGCCGCCCCTGAAGCACGTCTAGATGACGCGATTGGCTTTTTGCGAAACCAAGCCGAGGCTACGCAGGTGAGATTTGTTTTTATTTTGTGTCACTTTGCATGATTTTTTTTTCGATTATTTTTATGCGTTTTATAATATGCTATGCGAGTTTTATTTGATACGTTTTGATTGAACAGGAAAAGCGTTACGCCCAGACAGGCCTTTACATTTATCGGAGATTGTCCAAAGTATACCGGATGTTTCAAATTCGACCAAGGGAAAGAGATCAGAGTTGCAAGCTCACATAAAATTTTGAAGTCTTTTTTGGATTTAAATCATTTTAATGACTCAAGTCATTTGATTTGAAGTCATTTTTCGAAAGCTGACTCTAGACTTAAAATTTAAGTCTTTTTCAAAATGATCTGTGGTTTAAATCTTTATATTTTTTATATATTTTTTTTTATTTGTTTATATTTTTTTCTTTTTTTTATTTATTGTATTTTTTTTATTTATTTTTATATTTATTAAGTTTTATATTAATTTTATTTTTTATAAAGAAGACAAAATTATTTCCATATTAATTTTTATTTATTTATTTTTTTGTATTTTATTTTTTTTTTTTTATTTATTTTTTTTATTTTCATTAAAATGATTTAGGTCTTTTTTTTACTTAAATCATGATAATCTGTAAGTGAAGTCAGTAAAATGACTTAAATCAATATAATTTCACTCAAGTCATGACAACCAGAATTCAATTTAAATACCTCTTTTTTAAATGTTAATATTAATTTTTACCCATTACCGATTTTTTTATTATTATACTAGCGTGTACCCGCGACTTCGCGTCGAATTAATCATATTTCAAAATATGTAAAAAAACAAAATAAATTACGCGTGTCCGAGCGTTTTTCCGAAAGACTAACCGTTTTTTAAATAACAAACATTGTAATATTTGAGGGGCGTTTTCACCCTCTTGGAATTTGAGATTCGAGGAACCCCTCCTTATCAAACCTCTACACCCCACAGTCAATCCGTTTGCCAAAAATCAGCTTTAAACGTCAAGCAGTTCAAGCAGAATCGTGAATACTCAATGGTCATATTTTATGAAAAACCCTGTATACATTTTTAAAAAATCTTAAAATATGTAACCCAACAAAATAAAATATACGTGTTTAAGAGTTTTTCCGAAAAACTTACCGGTATTTAAATAAAAAATATTCTAATATTTGAGGGGTGGTTTCACCCCTTTTGAATTCGAGTTCTGAAAAATCCGTTCTTATCGAATCTCTACACCCTATAGTCAATCCGTTTTCCAAAAATCAGCTTTTTACGTCAAGCGCTTTAAGCAGGATCGTGATTAATCAATGACCAGATTTTTCGAAAAACCCTGTATAAATTTTTAAAACATCTTAAAATATGTAAAAAAATAAAATAAAATATACGTGTTTAAGCGTTTTTTCGGAAACTTGACCGTTTATAAAATAAAACATATTGTAATATTTGAGGGGTGGTTTCACCCCCTTGGAACTGGAATTTCGAAAAATCCCTTCTTATCGAACCGCTACACCCTAAAATCAACCTGTATGCCAAAATTGAGCTTTTTACGTTGAGTGGTTTGAGTAGGATCGTGATTAATCAGTATGTCAGTCACTTAAGGATTTTATACAGGTTGTTAACTCGACAGTTACTTATAGGGGAACAAAATGGCAACACTGCCTATTGAGAACGCATGCATTATTGATTTTTCTGCCGACTTGTCCCATCGCGTCTTCTATCGACGAGCGGGCCGAGGTTGCCATATTTCAATTTGTTAACAAATTAACAACCTGTATATTAGTATATAGATACAGAATAGAATAAAATACTATATAAACAACTATAATAAACAATAAAAAATAAACGCATCAAGGACCTATAAAACATGAACAACTTGGATAAAATTAAATTTCGTGGTACTTTGTACAGGTTGTCCCATTTTTTGTGTGTTTTACAGGGTGTCTCGTTTATGAGCAGCGCTACAAAGATACGGTTTTCACAGTTGCTACTTTTTTATGAAACTAAAGATGGTAAACACATATTTGACGCCGCTGTTAAAAATTTCGATAAAAACATATGAAAAAAAGACTTATTAAATAACGTTATGTTGATTTAAGTTTTTACAAAAACCACTGGACTTGAAATAAAATGACTCACACACAACATGATTTAAGACTGAAGTTTTTTTAAAACTGACTTATTGCAGCTGTGTTCCCAATAACGCGTGTTGAATTTGAAAGACCCTGTATAAACATATATTTTCATTTAGGATTGCGTGTAGTAAAGCTTGTTGTAATTTTTAGGGTGCAAGAATGGAAGAACGATTAGATGATGCGATAAACGTTTTAAGAAATCACGCAGAGTCACAGATAGGATTAGGACAGCTCCCCAACAGTTTAGCTCCCCACCAGATGACGCAACTCGGGTACAGCGCCCCCCCACCGCAAGATCCCCACCTCTCGGACTCTGTCAAAGTGGAGCGACCCACATACAACACAAGTAAATATTTTTCTGTCACTAATAGACAGTCGCGTCGGTTACTAGCTTAACGTCGAAGTTTATTTATTTATTATTGAACCATATTTTTGTTTTTTTTTCTCTCTGTTAGGTCTTTCATTATACAGATTTCTTTTTTCTTTCGAGGTGCCGTCGTTTTCAATGATGTTTTCATTCCAGAAAAGCGCAAAGAGCCGCCAGATAGCGACACCAAGCCCTCCAGTTCGGTGGAGAGTGTAGTTCAGCCAAACTCGACCAGCGGTCCCAAGTCCAGCAAACGGTCTAGGCGATAGTAAGTTCTCTCTCTATGTCGTTTTATCTCTTTGTAGGTCCGATTATTGATGATGCCTAAGAGTATGCAACTAACATTACGCCGGATTCTAAGGGTTTTATTGGTTAATTTCATCTTTAGGTCAAGTGTCAGTTCGAGGTCAATTAGTCAGTTTTTTTACGTCATCTACTGACCTAGTTGAAGTTGGCGCTAAAGATTTTTAGACAGTGACAGTTATTTTTGCATTTGACGGACGAGCGCACAGTGGGTTGGAAGATAAATTTAACGGGACAAAAGCGTTTGGTTAGAAACAAGCCAAAAAATGTGTACTGATAAGAATAAATAGTAGACATTCCAATTGATACAAAAATGCATGAATATTCTTTGTATTTCGATACATTTTTATCAACCAAATTTAGTCGTTTTCTGCTTAGCAAGGCAGAGATCACACGAAAACAAAATATTTACAAGTGCTTATACATTTTATTAGAAAACCAAATTACGTTGAAGATTGCCAAAGGTATGTACTTTTCTACTGTACGTATATTATTTGTTAAAATTCTTCGTGCCTTTGTTCTGCGGATATCAAACTTTCACTTTTTTTCAAATATCGATATATTGAATGATGTAGATCTTTTGAGTTACCAATAGTTACCAACACAGGTAGTCACAGTCACAGGGAGTTCAAGCTTAACAGGTGAATGCCCAAAAAGATTCATTTCAATCGGATAGTATTAAAACAAAACAACTCCATCAAAAGGCACTGAGTTTAAAAAATTGTCTTAGATACTTACTATATATGAATTTACAATTACCGAGTGTTAAAATTAAAATTAAAATATCTCTATCTTATTTATTATTTTCAAAATAAAATATATTTTCTAAAATAAATTATAGAGGGTGTCACAAGATTACAAATTAATTAAAAAAAAACTGCTAAAGAGTTTTTTGATGTCATAATTTTATGTATTTGGCAATAGTTTACAATACGGTTTTTGCGTGTCACGTACGAATAATATCATAGTTTTATTATCTTGTATTTATTTATTAATAAATTAAGTTGTTAATAAATAAATAAATTTAACGATAATATAGTTGCTATATTTTAGACCATTTGCTACGTTCTTAGATTTTAAGTCCCAAACGTTGCTCTTGATAATTTATTGCTCTTAATTAGATTAACACCTAAACTGCCCAAACGGCGACATTTTTCTAGCGATATGACTGAAATCCTGTAATATATTTATATAGAAATAATGCCGTCGATATTTTTTAATCAACTATATTGATTCTCAACTAATAAACAATATTACAAATTACAATAATAACACGCTGGGTTAAAGAAAACAATTTTTATATCCTCTGTCAGTAAACTACCAAATACAAGTGTATATAAAGTTGCCTACCGTACAATCCTTTTATGAACGACGCGGTCAATGGCCAATATAAATTATATCTATCGCACTTTAACCCATTATATTTTCTATACGTATTATACCTTACCTTGTTGACTTCACGATGGGTAAAATAAAACGTTTTCAAGCGAAAATTGGACAAATTGGGAATAGTTTTCAATATTTTAGGACAAAAGAAAAGTGATTTACAAAAAGTATAATTTAAATAGGTTTTTCTAAATTTCTCCTGATTTTTTTGGGGGGGCATTGACCATTTGACCTCATGGTTAAGCCGCCACTGGTATAAAGTCTATTTTATGGCAGTTTCTGAACCAATTTAAACAGGATTACTGGTGTATTGTTGGTTGTATATTCATTGACGTCATAATAGTGGGCCCTAGTAAAAGAATAAGAAAAATATTTAATGTGTTTATTTTTTGAGAGTACATTTTCCTTTTTTAGGACTACTTGATTATTATATTATATTGTATTATTGACATTTTTTTTTAATCGGATTAAAAAATATTCAAGGAGACTCACATTGAATTTTACATTTTTTTTTAAAATAAAAACGTTACATTCGAAAGAGAAGGCCTGATATGTTTGGCGTAAAAGGCATTCTTTTCTCGACGGTAACGATATCAAAATCATAATGAATTATACAGGGCGTCCCAGAAATAAGTGCAAATATTTTAACTGGTAGTACAGTTCAACCCCAGAAACACGCCTATGAGGTTTTTTTCGCGAAAAAAAAAATTGAAAATTCGAAATTTTTTGAAAATTTTTTTGGAATTTTTTTTAGTTTTTAGTTAAAAAACATAATTTCTTGATAATATGGCAACATAGGTATTAGATTAAATTTACAAGAAAGAAAATCCAGAAAAGATCCAGTGGTTCTCAAAATTTTAGCAAAAAATCATTTTTTTTTGGAAATTTCCAAAATAAAATAACTCCGTTATTTTGGACTTATTTGAAAAACGATAAAGAGAAAATATGTTTCTTTTATCGAGATCTACCACCCCTTAAAGTATTTGCACTTATTTCTGGGACACCCTGTATATAGCGTTAGAGAAAGATATTAAAGATAACTGAGGTTTGTACACTGATTTTGACACAACTTATGTTAAGCGACGTTATACGATGCAAGTGAATAGACGGGTGGCCGTCTGAGAGTGTATAGAACGTTCAACCATCTTTCAACGTGACGTCATATATTGTCGAACTCTCTCAATCGCTTGCCAGCCAGATGAAAGAGATTGATGACGTCATTACGGCATTTCGTAAATTATTGCATATTCTTTTTAGTAATTGTCATTGTCATTTGATTTGTCTTTAAAATTTTCTGAACAATATGACTTGATCTCAGACACACCCTGAAACTGATATTTGACAAATAATGATGACGTATACGGTGGACAATGGCTGAACAGTCTTTATCAGTCTATCCTGGCTTTTCCTAAAGTTATTTTGAAAAAGATTCACTGAACAAACCTCAGCTAATTTTGGATTTTTCTAGCTGTTATTAGTGGTGTTTCCTTGATTGTTTTTTACTCATGTTATTGTCTATTTTTTAACTAGTCAATCAAGTAATGCCGACGAGGACGAAACTAACGAAGACGGTTCGACGAAGGCCATACGCGAAAAAGAGCGTAGACAGGCCAATAACGTTCGGGAACGGTACGTAAAACGCACACTAACCTCACTTATTCCGACTCGAGGTTCCCAGAGCAACATTAATCCCACTTTTTTACCCCTATCCAGCCAAGGCTTAATGTTTCTCGAGTTTATAATGTTCCTAATATCCTAACGATATGTATGAACTAATATACAAATTGATTTTTATCATTCAGTTATACAGGGTGTCCCAGGCTGAGCGTGCATTAGAAGTTTCTAGAGGACTACAATATCGAATTGAATCTTGAAATAGATAGCCATATGTCTTCTCTTTATGTTACAGTGACTGTGGTAATTACAAATTTGACTTTTAGGCTATACAAATTTTTTTGGCAGGCAATTTTTTTCGTCCAAAAATTTTAAATATTTTTTTTTCTCAAAAAACGGTTAATGTTAATATTGTGGTTTTCTACAAACTTCTGATGCACGCTCAGCCTGGGACACCCTGTATACCTACATTTTTCTGTATTGCTAGGAGTCAAATCTGGCGAATATGTTGTATATATATATTACCAGGTATCTCAAAAGTTTTCATGTTTAGGATATGAAGTTTTTTCTTAGAATAGGTCGAAAAATTAATTCCCCTGAATTATCGGCATTTCTTTAATGAACACCCTGTATATTAGTTCGTAATATCTTACTTCCTAAACTCTTCCAAATCCATTTCACATATTTCCCTTCCCTTATAATATTTTGGCACTAAAAAGGCTCATATTCAAATTACAAATGTTACAGATGGTTTGTTCTGTCTTTTATCTTTATAATGCAGAGAACTCTGTTTTTTTTTTCATTTTTATTTTCTCTGGACTCAAAAAAGAATTGGTAACATTTGTTTTTAGGAATTGGCCAAGCATGAGTAGATATTTGATTTAATTTTAATTATTACTGTATATATATTGAGCACATTGAATATGGGCCTGTTATACTTCGATACGGTGTGTGTTTACGAGAAACAGACATTTTTTATTATACAGGGAGCGTCAAAATGAACGTAGAACAATTTATCTGTCGGCAGATCTTGAGATTTTCTCTCTCAGAAAAAAGGAAAATGTAAAAAATTAAATTAACGGGATTATTGCAAAAATTATTTTAGTTACATCATTTTTAAACGGTTTTTTATTGTATTGTTACCCTAGATCATAACCGGGTGTTGCATCGTCGAGCGGGGCATAAGAAATCCCTAATTATTTTAGAGAATAATTCTATTTAGGTTTATTGAAGAGCACTAAGACCCACATTCAAAAGAATAACTTTAGATATTTTTGATTAGCCCGTTTACGAGTTATCGCCGATTTCTTTTTAAATATTTCTCCTTTTTTATGGCCCTGTATTTACTTATGAGCACCAGTGTAGGTAAAAGATAACTGTCAAATGAAGTTGTCATTTAATAAAAAGTACCTAAATTAATAAGTTATTGAATATTGTAATAATACTATAATTAACCTTGTAATTGATTACTTTATTTTACTTTAATTCATATTAATTTGTATTTATAAATACATTTTTAAGATTTCCGTTGTAGGAATGAGTTTTCAATAGTAATAAAGCACTAAATAGGTAAATTTCTGAAATGACAACTTCATTTGACAGTTATCTTTTACCTTGACTGGTGCTCAAAAGAAAGGAGAAATATTTAAAAAGAAATCGGCGATAACTCGTAAACGAGCTAATCAAAAATATCTAAAGTTATTCTTTTGAATGTGGGTTTTAGTTTTTAGTGCTCTTCAATAAACCTAAATAGAATTATTCTCTAAAATAATTAGGGAAGCCAATAATTGACCCCATTAAAATTTACATGGGATTTCCTCTGTCCCGTCCGACGAAATATAGTCTAGGGACACCCGGTATATGATCTAGGATTGTTATTCTCTTTTTTTTTCGTTATGATAATTTTTGCTTTAATCTGTGCTACTAGTCGTGTATCAAAAAAAAATGTTATCGAGATGACACTAACGGAATTGTTAGTTGTTCTAGCGCAGATGAGACTGAGGATGGTGAGTTAGATCCAGATGTTAAAGCCCAGAGGGAAAAGGAGAGGAGACAGGCAAATAACGCACGAGAAAGGTGGGGGAATCACCCGGAAATCCTTTTATTTTGTCATACATATCGGGTCTTGTTTAAGTATAACCAAGCCTATATTCTTGTGTCTATGTGCTTCTCACCGTTTATGCTTTTTTTTTATTTTTTTTAAATATGCATGGTAATAGCCAAAGACATCTAACTCATTATTTACGTTTTATCCCGGTCAAACATCGTTTTCAATGAAAAGCGACGATGCCAGACTTCTGCGGATTGCGTTAGATATACGGATTGTGTTATTATTTTTATTAATGTTTCTTTTTTGGTACCTATAGAAACAGTGTACTAAATATATTTTTAGGTATGTTATTTTAGTTAAAATACATATATTATACCTTTGAAATGATTTTTAGATTTCTAATTAAATTAAATTCAAATTTATTAAGGAAGTAACTGTGATAACCCTGTTTTAGGAACACTTCAGGGAACTGATTCGTGAACTTTAAGTATAACTAAGTCTTTTTCTTTACAAAAGAACCGTTTAAAGTATTTTTTAAATATCTAAGATGGTTTGCCAATGTTTTAATTTGCAAAAAGGTGGACTATTTTAATCCCAAATTGATACCTATTTTGCCGTAAATGACGAATTTACGTATTTTTTAGCTTTAACAGTGTTGTACCTTGTTTAAATTTTAAGTAGGATATTACCAAAAAGTATTATTAAAAACTTCACATCTTGAATTCTCATGTACTGTTACTGTAATAGAGAAATTATTATTATATTACATAAAAAAAATAAACAGCACGCCACTGGTAGACTGAAAATACAGAAATGCGCGCGAAACTCAACAGCGTTGTCATATTTATGCACCCATCTCTTTTTTACTTATTTTATAAAAGTGTTGAATTATGAAAGCAGTGTTGTGTCTTTCTTTTGTTATATGTCTTTGGACTTAGCAGCTTATTAATCAAAAAATTAATCAGTACATTTTTTCGATTATCTATGTTTGTTGATGTGTTTGGTAACTATATATCGGTTCTAAATAATAATTAAATAACTTTTTCAAGCTTGAACTAGATTTTCATCTGCTCGTTTTAACAGGTTTTTTTGTCTCAACATATAAGTGATATTATAACATATTCATAGACTAATTTAAGATATTGCATGATGTGGGATAGTAACTAACAATTTGTGTGATTTCTAAAGAAACATTCTCAATATTTTCTCGATTTTATAGGATAAGAATTCGGGATATCAACGAAGCCCTGAAAGAATTAGGAAGAATGTGCATGGCACATTTAAAGACAGACAAACCACAGACAAAATTGGGTATACTTAACATGGCTGTCGAGGTTATCATGACCTTGGAACAGCAAGTCAGGGGTAAGCATATTATTTACCATATATCTTTTGATTTTGACAGCATATAAATTTATTTAAGAGACATATTAATCTAAGAGTAATATTAATCTAATTTCTCTATGTTTGCTTTTTTATATTTTTAATTGTTTCTAAAGTAATCGCAAAACAATTTCCGATGCACGTCATCAATTTTGAGTGACAAGCCATGGCGACAGCGCTGCCAGATCGTGATGGATTTATAAGATGAATCTTAATTTAAAATTGACAAACAATATATTATATTATTTTTTAAAGATCTATACGTTTTATTTTTAATTTAATAACTAAATATTTTAGTAATTAATTTATATATTTGTTATTATTATTTACTTATTACATGTTGGCAAAAACTAGTCAATTATGAAGATTATTGTAACCGGTATTATGGGTTATTTATTTATTTATTGATGTACAGGGTGTCCCACTAAGAATAGCTCTCGGCTGTATCTCGGAAAGTATTAGGGGCTATGGGAAATTGCTGGAAATTATTTTCAAGTTTGTAGAACGACCGCTAGGGGGCGCAACTGCAACAAAAAATAAGAAAATGGAGTTTTTACACAATTTTGCCTAGATAAGGTGTACTAAAAGTAATCGCTTCATAATCCTCAGTAAATTTTGAATATTTTTTGTTAAAGCCATTTTCCCCTATCTACCAAAATAAAGTGGTGGGGGAAGGTTAAATCTGTTTTTATTTAAATATTAATAACTCTGGACTGGATGATCGGAATCGAACAAGCGAGGGCTCGTTTAAAAGAGCGTTTCTTACTCTATATTGTATCATATAAACAATAATAATAAGCTTTTGAACGCAAACGCTAGGGGGCATTGTCTTACAATTTAACAAACATTGCGCGTTTTTTTGTTTTGCGATTACTATAGACTAGACTAGTTGAAATATTTATATTTATTTTAAGAAACGTATTAATCTAAGAGTATTATTTAATTTAAGATCTCTATGTTTGTTTATATTTTCAATTCTTCCTGGTCTGTATAATTTTGAGTTAATCAATATGTTACTATATTATTGCAGAGCGAAACCTGAACCCCAAAGCCGCTTGTCTGAAGCGGCGGGAAGAGGAAAAGGCTGAAGACGGCCCCAAATTGGGGCCCGCGCCCCACCATAACATGCTCTCTGCCCCCCACTACTCCACACTACCCGTAAGTATCGATTATGTAAGTATTCCCAAGAGTATTTTTTATTATTTATTGGTATTTTAAATTATTCTTTTAACCCGATTATGCCTGTTTAAAAAAACTAAGAAGGAGCATATAAAACGCTTAGGTTGAGCGCGATGGGGACCTAAAATGGCCGACTTAAATTCCGGTTTATCAGTGGCGTTCTAATTTTATTCAAAACGTGAAAAAAATTGATGTAGGGTGGACTCAGTAATTTGTTGTTTTATTTTACGTTGTCAAGTTATTAAAATTGTTATAAAAAAATATAATTCTAATAAAAATAGATAAGTTATAATAATAATTTATTAACACAAACATCCGAGATACGCTACTGAAGCAGGTAAGTCAAATTGACGTATCTAAATTATCTTTGACGGGTAGCAAATAAAAGAAAAAAAAATGCAAGAAAAAATATTTAATTATAGTAAACGCCACGAATGTTTGGGAGTGATTCATCGGTCGCTACCATGTGAACTAATCTGTTCAAGGTCACATAAAACTTAATTCCAGTGCCGTGGTGTTTCAGGTCATATAATAATCAATATATAATCTGATGTAATTTGTTGTTTTAACAGTTTAATAGTACCTAAATTAATAAGTTATTGAATATTGTAATAATACTATAATTAACCTTGTAATTGATTACTTTATTTTACTTTAATTCATATTAATTTGTATTTATAGATATATCTTTAAGATTTCCGATGTAGGAATGAGTTTTCAATAATAATAAAGCACTAAATAGGTAAATTTCTGAAATGACAACTTCATTTGACAGTTATCTTTTACCTTGACTGGTGCTCATAACTCATAAGTAAATACAGGGGCATAAGAAAGGAGAAATATTTAAAAAGAAATCGGCGGAAACTTGTAAACGAGCTAATCAAAAATATCTAAAGTTATTCTTTTGAATGTGGGTTTTAGAGCTCTTCAATAAACCTAAATAGAATTATTCTCTAAAATAATTAGGGAAGCCAATAATTGACCCCATTAAAATTTACCTGGAATTTCCTATGTTTCGTCCGACGATGCAACGCCCGGTATACGATCTAGGTTGCCATTACAGAAAATTCTAATGGGGGATGTTTTTGGTGTGAATATATGGATAATCATTATAATCCTTCCTTAATTTATATTATTCAAAGGCATAAACGGTAAAAAGGATTTTTTTACAGTAAATTATGAAGCAAAGTTGTTTACAGTTTCTTTTTTTTTTCATTACAGGGTGCCCCCACTAACTTGCCACACAACGGACCGCCGCAGCAGCAATAGCATTGCTAGTAGCGCCGTCTGGCGGACGCTCCGTTATTACCTGTATATAAATAATTTCGTACAAACAGTGAACGTTACATAACAATATTATATTTTTTTAAGGATGTTAAGTAGTGTGACGCGTCGGCGCGGTAGCGGCTTCAACTCTATCGCCATCTCCCTCTACCCCCCTACCAGTAGAAGCTTAGCTCCTCCTCCCATCTAGTTCCCGCCTCCTTTTTTCTTTAGCTCCTCCCACCCGAGCCAAGGCCATTTATTTTCGTTACTACTTAAGTTTTCTACGTTGCAAAATTTTTATGTACGGATATTTCGTATTGTTCATTGATTATTGTACAGGGTGTTGCTTAATGACATGAAGAATCTGTTTTAAGAAAAAAAATCTTATGAATGTATGTCCTAGATATCTTAACTTTTGAGATACTTTTAATATTAATAGTTTAACTTTTGATGGTGAATCTTTCTAAAAAAACGGGACAAGCCACGATGCCTAAAGAAAAAAGGCCAGTGAAAATATCATATATGAAAGTATCGACGCTTTGGAAAATCGATACTTCCACCCATTCCTAGTCTAAGATTAATTAGAACGGTCTAAAACTGTAACAAACAGTAAAAAGCAATTGCAATGGTAAAAACCAGTGGAAATGTTTATACAAAATATCGAATACGAAAGTATCGATAGTGTGAAAAATCGATAGTTTCGCCCATGTCTAGTCTAATAGTAAATATCAGAAGTGGGACTTGTCCACCGAGGTTTTCGTATATTTCGTATATATTACGATTTTCTGGACATACAGTCACTTGAAGGTTTTTTCTTAGAATATGTGATAATCACCCCCTTAAAAACACCCTGTATAAGAAAAAGCGTCTTGGGTTTGACCGTTTTACCCTTATTATCTTGTACATAGCACGAAAATTGTTCTAAAACTATAATTACTGTAAGATATATTATTCGGGTGTACATATTTATAGTAAAAATAAAATAAATGCCTTAGAAATGGGTTCGGTGCCCACAGGCATATATGCGTAACAGCGACAATATTTGCGATTAAAAACTGAAAATAACGGGTTATCGAGAGAAAAAAAACGATGTCGTAGTAGGCATAGACATAAAAAAATTCTACGCCTACCGTGACGTCGATTTTTTTTTCGATGACGCGTTAATTCGAAACGCAAGACGCTTTTTTAGGTAGCACAAATGACAGAAGCTGCTTTAGTTTGGTTTGGGAATACACGTACGTGCCAAATTCTATAAAAAATACTCTTTTTTTAATAATAATAATAATAATACGCCTCTCTATGTATTTTTTTATATATATTTAGTATTTTAGGTTGTTTTTTTTCAGCTACTTAATAATGTTATGATCTCTGTTGTTTTGCCATGAGTACATACATAGATTTTGTCTGACTTAGTCTATGTTTTTAATATAAGTTTGAATTTTCTCTTATTTTTTTTTTTTTGACTGAAATAATGACAAGAAAAATAAATATTTTTTTGTCAGGATTATCAAGGGTTTTGAACCAGTGTGATCTGAGTTGCTCACTAAAAAGACGACACTTAAGTTTTGTATTAAAATCTTATTGGATGTCAAAGTAATGTGCCATTTTTTTGTGGATACTTGTATTAACTTAATAATTTTCTCAAACCAAGCTGAAGCAGCTACACTTTTTTTTAATGCCAAGAGCCAGTATTTTCGAAAAAAAAAATGTTCAATTTTACTGAATTTGTACATATATAAGTAGTTAACTCTATTATTTTGTGTCTTCACTATTTAAATTTGCAGTATTTAAGTCTTAGGCATATTCTAAAAAAAAAGAAATCTATATAATTTTAATTATTATTATTAATGATTAAAATAAATAAATAAAATTATTTTTTCGAAATTTCTGAGGAAGGGTAAGAACTAGAAAAAAAAAGTTCAAATAAAAGTTGTAGAGCGTTCAATTTTACATAAAAATGGTCTCTATACTTTTTTTGGTCAGATCAAAATTAACCGAGATAGAGTGCCTAGAAGCTAGGGGATGATAGAAATTAAAAAAAAAAATATAAGTTGCAGAAAAATTTATATATTTAACATTTTTATTAAACTTGTTTGGAAAATTATAAATTTCAATTAAGATTTTTTCAAAATTCATCCCGAGAAGGGGTGAAAAATATAAATAAAGTATTTTTTTTCAAATTTCAGAGAACTGTTAAGGACTTTGAAGAAAATGTTTCAATAAAACTTGTCCCCTAGCTTCTAGCCATCTTATCTCGGTTAATTTTGATTTGAGCAAAAAAGTATAGAGACCATTTTTATGCAAAATTGAACGCTCTACAACTTTTATTTGAACTTTTTTTTTCTAGCCCTTACCGTTTTTCTGAAATTTCGAAAAAACAATTTTATTTTTTTGTTTCACCCTCTTCTCGGGGGTAAATTAAAAAAAAATCTTTCACAATTCGTTTTTACATCTGCCAAAGTAACTTATATGAAAAATACGTCTTTAAAGGCCTAATTTCTTGGGCTATGGGTTAGACAAATAGGTAAAAATAGAAGACATCCAAAAAAATGACAGAAAGCACCAATATATATCTTTGAATTTTTTTTATAAATATTTTTTGGAATATGTTTATGACACATAAATAATTTACAAAAAATTGTTTTTTGTCCTACCACATACAAAAAGGACTGTCACTCAGAACTATTTAATTAATAAGTTTTTTAGTAGTTCCATTACTATTTTTCTTCTTTTTTTTAGAAGAAAGCACTTTTTATTGAATTCGTTTTAAAATTAATTAATGCAATAACGTATGATCGAAAAAATCGCCGTCAAAGACGCCTGGGAAATGACAATCGTTGGTAATTTTAGCGAGGTCAGTCTCTTAGAAGTCATTTATTAAAAATTGAGATAAAACTTATCACTAAAATTATTTTTGTGATGATTAAATGACTTTTGCTTTTTGTTCAGGATTAGACAGTTATTTTGGTTCAATAATAAGATTGAACGGGTAACTGACGTCTAGAGCTTGATCTCGTCAAAATTATTATCGTTGTCATTCCCCAGCTGTCTTTGACGTCGTTTTTTTTTCGATCATATGGTATTTATTTTTAAAAGTAGGTAATCAAAATTAATTGTTTAAAAAAAAACGTTACGGTTACCGAGATAAATGTAATAATTATTACCCAGTTAATTTTGATAATATGTACTTGAAAACGTAGATTTTTCTGTGATAAAAAAACTGTATTGTTATTTATATTTGAAGTTTTACTTATTAAAATTTACAAATTAATAAGTTTTTTGCTATAATATATGGCCGACAGAATCAAATAATTAATTCTTTTTGTAATTAATTTGAACAAAATCAAACTTAGGAATGTTTAATTTTGTTAAAAAAAATGGTTGGAACTACTAAAAAAAGACGTCTTTGCTTTATACACCCCTACTTATTTTTTTTTATTTATTTTATTTGTATTTTATACCCCCCGCCCCCCTATACTTAAAACTATGCGATAAAAACTCGTTTTTGAGTTTTCTATAATTTTAGAAGTAGATTTTTTTCTACTACTTATTAAGTTCAGTATTGCATAGCTTGTTTTTCGGTTTTTTGGCGCTAATTTTTTTGTGCCCTTACTAAAAATATTTTGAAAATCGAAAAACAAGCGTTCTATACGCTAAAAAAATACGAATTTTATTTTACAATAATTATTTACTTGCTTCGGATATTAAAAGAGGAAAAAAAATGTTTTTATATAGATTTGAGGTTTTTTATGTAAGGATATTTCTTAAGCGTAACTTTTTATAAGTATATATTTTTTTTAAGATAGTAATATTATGTCATAAACATGTATTTTTATGAGTTTGTTTATTTTTAGTTTGTAGTATTTTATATTTATATTATTTGTTTTGAATTGTTAAGCGGAGCTTTTCGGTTATTCTGGCGCGCTGTTGCCATGAAATTTCTATTTATATTGAGAATTTTAGTTAGGGCCTGATTTTTTAGTAGTCTGGTCACTGTGTAACTTTGACCGAGTTTTTGTCACGTTCAACCCAGTGTAATTTTTTTTAATTATAATTTTTCTGATGCTTGTAAAAGTATCATAAAAAATTTTTTTTTCAAACGTCACAAAATTATTAATTTTTGCGACGTGATTGACAATATAAAAAAGTCATTTTAACGCCTAGGCATAAAAGTACGAAAATATGTTATTAAACTGGTATAAAGTGTCAAATTAACGAGCCATAACCATAATTTCTCGATATATAATTATGTACATACAAGATATTAATTTTAAATATTTTTATATTATTTGGACGTTTAAAATTGTTAAAAAAAATTTGTGACGTTGAAAAAATAAATAGCATGTTCTATTTAGGTTGCAACAATTTACTATTTTTTAGTAAAATTACTCACAATTTTTTAAAAGTATCTTTTTTATAATTTTAAAAGAACAATTTTAGTTATGGCCTGATTTTTTGGTAGTCTGGCCACTGTTGCCAACTTTGACCGAATTTTCACATGTCTAACCCAGTGTAATTTTTGGCTATGTGATTTTTTTCGATTTTTTTGTTTCTGATGCTTGTATCAGTACGATAAAAGCCTTAAAACATTTTTTTTTCGGTAAAGTAACTTAAGTTTTCCTAAAATAAATCAATTTTAAGCTGGAATTTCCGAAAAGCAGTTTTGTTGTACATGAAATTTTTCTTGCAATAATCATTACGACATAGTATGATGTATTTTTCTTTCTTAGTAGACTATATTTTCGTGTTAGAACTTCATTCCATTATCGGCAGCCTGTGGTTTCCTTTTTTTTTGGCAGCATTTGATAAAAATTAATCCTGTTTTTTCGTGGGCAGCCAAAGTTCATTTAATTTGACTTAAAAAAAAACTCAAATGTAATCCTTAAAAGTTACAAAGACAATTTGAAACTTTTAAGAAACACATACTAGGTATATAAATATAAATTATTTATATACCTATCTATAAATATATATAAAAATGAAAGAAATGAGTTTAGAACAAATTTGTAAAGCTTAAATTTTTTGAACATGTATAAACGTTTTTTAAAGCGGATGTTTTTAAGTACATAAAAAGTATATATGATTAAAATTGTGTGAGATGAGAGGACAACTTAGGATTATACAGCTAGACTATGAAATGATATCAACTCTATGTAATATACATAAGTACATAATATACTATGTGCCATTTTTCATAAAACATACGAATTTTTATTTACCCTTCCTAACTATTCTTCTAGTACATCCGTCCAAACGCTCAGCTCTTCTAAGATCGCTTAACTTGACTTGGAGCTGACAGAAATAATCTCCTTGCTCTTATATTCTCCTGATAGTAATCGGAAATTTTGTAGAAAATGGAAATTTTTCATGTAAGTTTTGTTACAAGACGAATATCTTTGATTTGAGAGCACATAAGAGCGAAGAGGTAACATAGGTATTATTTTTATATAAAATACTGTCTAATTCCAGAACAACTTTTATGGTTGAATATATTGAATATATTATTTTTGTGATAATTAAATGACTTTTTCTCTTTGTTCAGGATTAGACAGTATATTTTGGTTCAATAAAATTCATTTATTATTAAGTATTATTTATTTTAATATTATATCTTATTAACAAAGGGTAACTTAAAAAATATAATCCAGAACTATGGTATGATTGAATAAAAACGGCGTCAGCGATGGCTATGAAATGAAGATCGCTGTCATTTTATATGTAAATTTATGGCAAATGTACTCAATCGTCATTTCCCAGCCAACTGGACGCCGTTTTTTCGATCATAATTTGTAATTATTAATATATTTTTTCTCGTAAATAAAGGATTTTTCAGCTTAATTAAATTTCAAATTTGAAAATTGTGGCGCCAAAAGTTGAACAGATACATCCGGTAAGAGCTGTGAACATTGAGTCAAGTTAAAGACTTTTGAAGTTATTTTTTATATAATTTATCTCATATTTCTTACTATTTAACTATATAGAATTAGTTTCTTATTAAACTAAGGGATATTTATTGAATAAAAACACTCGTTTCTTAATAATTTATCAATATATTAAAGAAATGCATGATTTTATATTTTATAGTTCATCTAATTTATGTGCGTACTTAATAAAAACCATCCATGTTTATTAAAAAAAGTTAAAATCGAGGCATCCAAGAGCAAAAAATACTCGATCGTGATTGGTCAGTTTCGGTAGCGTGCAGGTTTTGAATTTTATTCTCGTTCAATGTTGCCGGATTGTTAAAAAATGTCGAAAATCTTTTTCTCTATGTGATTTTTGTGAAATTATATTAGTTTAAATTGATCACTGGCACTATAGTGAGGGTCATTTCTATATTTATATTTTTAGTAAAACAAGTACCAGTAATGTTGTTTTGTAGAAATTTCTTTTATTTCTTCTTGTAATTACGTACTAACATTATAGTCTTTATTCTTGGTTTTGATGTATTTATAGCATTAAAAATGTATTTAAACAGCTTCATTTTATGTTTATTTTATGATTTTTGTGTGTTTATGTTTATAATTACTTATTTGTTTCTTATTTATAACAATAAATATTTTGCCTTACGTAAAAAAACGATTTCAGTGGAACGTATATTGAGTAAATAATAAGTTTTGAGAACAAAATTAAGCTTAATTTACAAGAATTTTCCTATAAACAATTTTATTAGTAATAAATAAATTAATTTTATGAGCAGCTTAAATTTTACGAATGACTTCAATCTGGCAACGCCGGTTCTGTTTTGGTCGTTTGCAATTGAAGGATTCGGACGTCCTCCCGTCGGTTGCATCGATTTTTTAAATT